GTTTTGATAATAAGAAAACATAAAACGCATCTAAAATGTTCCCGGGTGTTCCTTCTCGAGAAAAGCCTTCATCCGCGCCAAAATCACTTCTTATATAAGAACCCTAATGTTTGAAATCACTATCAACTAGGGATTTAATTTCTACAAACCAACATATTTTCATCAGAACATAATGGAGACTTTGGAAAATCTCACTTAAGCTTAGAACTAAAACATTGTTAAGTGTTAAATCGAGTCAAGACACAAATTACATAAACCGAATTAGTCATGTTGAAGCCACTTAGACGGTACCCTAACGACCAAACAACAAAAATAAATACTCACATGAGAAATCTCTGAACTATAATTTCAGAGAAGCTTAGTACACTTGAGTTTTATCTTGTGTCGGCTCAAGAAGTTAGGTCATTGAAATGACGTACTCTCTGGACAGTGACCATTCTTCAGGCAAGGAGTTATGATCAATCCCAACAGTTTTGGGGCAACTAAGAGACAAACACCTTGTGATGGTTAATTTGTGGTCCCTTTAGTTTTCTTTGATACATTTTGGATAATCCTCACGTGATCTCTTTGTGGACACAATTCAACAGTTTTTTTCTTTGCTTTAATCGAGTTATTGCTCTTATCCACCTTCAATGTAGATGAGTGTCTAATTGGCAAATGAATTTAGTCGAATTATAATTCATGGTGTGTAGTTTGTAGATATCATGATAGTAAGCTTAAAGTTTTTTTTTTTTGTAACAAAAGACTCAAAACATTTAATTTTTTTTTTACAGCCGTTCGATTATAGTAGCTAATAACTATCAAACAAACGAACTCAACCACTAAAAGATTCTTTGTCAAGAACATCTTACCCAAAAAAGTTGTGGTAGTTTTCAAAAGTAAAGCTAATCCCATTATATATCTATCTAAAATAGTATATCATACATGTACCAGTTTGTGTTGACTAATCATGTTATCTTTTGTTTTCTTGATGGAAGCCACTAATAAACAAAGTGGTTTTCGAAAATCAATCAAATTCTATAATAAATATGGATTTTTAAATGAAAAAATCATGCTCCCTTGCAAATTCGCAAATTCGATAATTTCGAGTAAATAACATGTATATGAAGTGAAGTATAATCGCAATTTTCAGTTGAAAAATATTTATACAAATGTTAGAACATTTGTATAAATATATATCTACAAATTTTTTAGAACATTTGGTAAATGTGTATACAAATGTATGTTGTCATAAATGGTGTGAGTTACTAAAAGTTTCCGTAGTTATGTTATCTTTTATTTTCCAAAAATTCATCGTAAATAAGCTTGAATTTGCGAAGAATTC